TAATTAAAGGAACATAATAGAAACACTTTTAAAAACCTTTGTGCATACCCTCAGCACAGCACTTATCACATGGAACTATGCTCATATGTTGTTTTCCTTACTGTACCATAAAGCTCTAAAGGAAAGGACAATGTCTTACTTATCCTTGTTTCATTAGTACCTAGAACAAATACCTGCTTCACAATAGCTCCTTAAAAAGTGCTCAAAGAATTGATATAATAATAAATAGACCTTTTGATAATGGGTGTTTTTGAATAACTATGCCATGGATAAGATATAACTTTTTCTTATGAGTAATTTTGTCATACGTAAAACCTAAAAAGACTTGTAAATAGTCTGATCAAATAGCATATCCTCTGGGATATCTTTCCTTCACTTAAACAATTGCATGTATATACCTTAGAATATAAAGACAACGCTGAGTGACACTATCACATTAAACACATGGAGTTCACTGTAACCTTTAGTTTCCTTTAAAAATGAAGTCACTACTATGAGAGAATTCATAAATTAAAATGCATCATTTTTAATATTTTAATGAATTACACAAATTACATAAAACAGTAGTCCCTATAGGAGTGTTGGCGCTGAGGGAAACCTTCCTCTTCACCCTCTGAAGTTTCGCTGAAAAATCAACTCACAAAAGGTGATTAATAGGAGAAAAGGCATACACATTTATTTAAGGTGTCCACAAGAGCTTTCAGAATTAAGAACCAACCCTCCAACGGGGTGTGGAAGCTTATATAGCAGCTTGAGGTTGCGGAGAGAATGTGAGCTCAGAGTGGGGCCAACATCAGGTTATGGTGGTGAATCAGGTTAAAGTGGCAAGACAGGTGACTGGAGGGAGAGAAGAGGAGGCTTGGCTAGCAAAGGTGGTCTTATTATGTAGATGAAACCTCACAAGTAGCCCTCAGAGAGAACAGATGGTAAATGTTTTCCTTTGTTTTTCAGAACTTTTAAGGTGTCAGAGTCTCAGGAACTCTCATCATGTAAACAAAAAGTAGATACAATTTTTATTTAATAATATTTTTTAAAAGAGACAAATTAGAATGATACAAAAAAGGTGATAAAACCAGACAAATAATAGCTCCATAAACATCGGTAAAATAAATTCATTCCTATGCTATCTAAATGAAAAGATCATTAAGAAAGTCAGATCTTTGCAAAGCTCTTAGGGAAAATGAAAATGTGTTTTTAAGATTTGCAGTTTGAGGTTGCTGGGGACTCTGAGGAGCAGGAGAGAATGTGGGCATATGAGATTGAGCAAGAGATGGCAAACAAGAACTTATTAAGTACCTGCTGTGATGCATTAGTTGGAAAATTAGCTCTATTGGTTATGGCATGATGCTAATGAGCTCAAGGTTGAATGTTCCCGGTTGACTTTGGGGTCAGTTAGGTGTGCTCTTCAGTGGCCTCTGAATACAAGAAAGGTTTGGCAAGCCATTTACATGTGCTGCTAGGGCCCAGGGTACAGAATGATTGTGGGAACTCCGTAACTCATCATTTCTACTGGATGAATAATCATTTTGTTTATAGTCCCCTTGAGGTTGGTATTGAAGAACGTTGTGACATTGAAGAGTGTTATGGTTCAGTGAAGCATTTGGTATTATGTATAACAAGTCATATGAATTTTCCTATGCTTAAGAATTTCCCTTTTAGGCCAGGTGCGGTGGCTTACACCTGTAATCCTAGCACTCTGGGAGGCCGAGGTGGGCGGATTGCTCGAGGTCAGGAGTTCGAAACCAGCCTGAGCAAGAGCGAGATCCCATCTCTACTATAAATAGAAAGAAATTAATTGGCCAACTAATATACAGATAGAAAAAATTAGCCGGGCATAGTGGCACATGCCTGTAGTCCCAGCTACTCGTGAGGCTGAGGCAGTAGGATCACTTGAGCCCAGGAGATTGAGGTTGCTGTGAGCTAGGCTGATGCCACGGCCTGGGCAACAAAGTGAGACTCTGTCTCAAAAAAAAAAAAAAAACCAAAAGAAAAAAAAAAAAAAGAATTTCCCTTCTGAAAATTTAGGTTGGAAATAATTTGGTAACTCTAAAAATGAAATTCTAAGCTGCCCACTGATAAACCTCCTCTTGGCCAAGGGACCCCAGAAAAAACTAAAACTGAGTCCCCAGCCATGTTGGAAACAGAGGTCAGATATGGCTTCTTTTTTTTTTTTTTTCCCCGGCATATTATGGGTTCTTATATCACCTCCCGTTTAAAGTTAGGACACAACAAGGCCGGGCGCGGTGGCTCACGCCTGTAATCCTAGCACTCTGGGAGGCCAAGGCGGGAGGATCGCTCAAGGTCAGGAGTTCGAAACCAGCCTGAGCAAGAGCGAGACCCCGTCTCTACTATAAATAGAAAGAAATTAATTGACCAACTGATATATATAAAAAAATTAGCCGGGCATGGTGGTGAATGCCTGTAGTCCCAGCTACTTGGGAGGCTGAGGCAGGAGGATTGCTTGAGCCAGGAGTTTGAGGTTGCTGTGAGCTAGGCTGACGCCACGGCACTCACTCTAGCCTGGGCAACAAAGCGAGACTCTGTCTCAAAAAAAAAAAAAGTTAGGACACAACAATTGACACGACATTAATGTTAAAATGGAGATTGTAAAACTGATAAAACAGACTCTTTGTGGCAATAAGATACCAAATCATAAACAAGACTTAAGGCTATGCAAGGCAAGAGTTAAGTCATACCTTACAATCCATAAAATGTAGTTATGTGGATTGTAAAGATTTTTTGCTGGAATGGCATCATATGACCTCCTTAACTTAGGCATTCCTTCCTACTGACCTCACATTTTTAGGCAAAGCTTAACTCTCTCAATCAATTGCCAATTAAAAAAATCTCCAAATCCACCTATGACTTGTAAGTCACCACTTCAAGACATTCCTCCTTTTGGGGCTGAACCAATATATACCTTCCAGGTATTGACTTATAATTTTACCTGTAACTCCTGCTTCCCTGAAATGTATAAAAACAAACTGTAATCTGGCCACCTCGGGACCACTTACTCAAGGCTTCTCCGGCTTGTGGGTGCCTGGGCTACAGTCTCATGTTGACCCAGAATAAACCTCTTTAAATTATTTTAGAGTTTGGTTTTTCTGTTAACATAACTAAAAAAAGTTTATATCTATAAAAACTTACTGTAGAGTGGTTTATGTTAGTCAAAAATCAAATGCAAGCTAAATAAAATGTCCAATCATAGAAGAATGCCTTTTTCAATTTTAGAACATTACCGTATAAAATGTTATGCATGCATAAAGTAAAATATACTCATGGCAATTGAAGAATAATCTAGAAAATACTTATGAAAGAATTCTAGAAGAAGAAAGCAGCATGAAAATGTTAAGTATGTTATGAATACAACTTTTGAATATTTTAATATGAATACAACTATTTAGATACGCATCCATGCATGTGTACTCACACACAGAAGCAAAATAAATATAAGAGCCTAGTTGAGAAAGACAACAGTGGATGCAAATGGTGCAGGCAGTATATTCTACAGATTAGTGCTCAGTCCTGCAGGTTCTACATTCACAAAGGGATATGAATTTTGGCTCCTCAATTTACTACCTATCTAACCATTAGTAAATTATTTTAACACACTATACCTCAGTTTACTCATCTGTAATTGTAGAATGACAATGCCCCTAGCCTCATAAGGATGCTTGATAATTGAATGAGATGACATATGCAAAGGCCCCAATCACATGCTGGTGCTCAATAAATATTTGCTCTTATTAGAACAATGATAATAGTAATTATTTTCATAATTTGTCATTTTGCATTTTTCCAGTTTTCACTTTTGAATCTTAATAATGATGGCAGCAAATATTTAAATGATTACGTTTTGCCGGGCAGGGATCAAAAGCATGTACTTCAGAACCTGTATAGCTGGGTTTGAGACTAGCTCTGTAATTTACTAGTTTTGTAATCGGAAATATTAGCTATCTTCTTTGTTAATCCCCCCCTTCTGTAAACAACCCACTCATGGGGTGCTGAACAGATTAATATAAGATGAGGCTCGCAAAGAGCTTGGAAATTATTCAATAAATGACAATTTATTTTACTCAAATTTTACAACAGTTTCATAAAACATTTTATGTACGAGCTCAACCTTATATATTCCAGTGGAGGAAATTGAGAGTTAGAGAATCAAGAGCCTACCCCAGACAGCCACACTGCTAATGAGAGCCTGAGTCAAGATTTTAAGTTGTATTTGTTTGCCTACAAAGACTATGTTCCTAATTGACACAGTCTACTGTTGCTATCGCTATTTGCAAATAACCATTTTCCACAGCCATATCAATTTTGGGGAAAAGTGCTGGAGGGCTGGAGTTACAGCCCTTTGAATCCTGGCCTGTGAGGAGGGGGTGTTGTTGAGAGCAAGAAATGATAGAAATCCTCCGAGGTTTGCACAACTACCATTCTCTTTCTGTTCTCACTAAGGCATCTTGGTCTCAGGTTGCAGTGTCACCTATTTCCTGTGTCTGCCACCAGCACAGTGGCTGCAATGCTTGGTTGCCCTCATCATACTGTCCCTCTCATTGCCTGCCTTCGCTTCTCTCCACTCACGTCCACATGGCTTGGTTTGGGGGAAGATGTTCTAAGACCCCTGAGATACCTGCCCAATTGCCCTTTCCCCTGCTAAGGAGGAATAAACTGCTCAGATTCCTTGTCCTTTTCCTGGAATTAAATGCCTCACCCTATGCTCCCAGGGGTGTAAGGTGGGCATGAGGACAAAGGGGTGCTTGAAACATTCCACCATTACCTGGCATCATGGGCAGAAGGAGAGAGAAATTCACAACATGCCTCTGCAAGGTGACTTTGTGTAAGAAAATGATAAAATAAATAGCAGTCTTTATAACATAGTATAAAAAGACACATGACATTTAAATCAAAATGTTGTTAGTATCTTAGCTTGTTTCGATAAATGTTAAGCAGAAGTATATTTATTCAGATATTTTCTCCTCTCATATATTTTGAATCCACAGTCAAATGTTTTCCCTGTATGTTCAGCTCCCCATACCTTTTCCATTTGGAATCACGTCAATCAGTTTTACAGCTGAAAGCAGTGACATGCTGACAGAAGGGGAACACTACACTATCCAGTTTCTGATTTTTTGCTATTTATTGCACTGAAATTTTGGATAAATTATTTTCCTTTAAAACTGGGAATGAAAGGCTCGAAAAGATTAATCTCAGTTAATATATTGTGGGGACCCAGGATACTGGAGGTAAGTAGTACTTAGCTTGAAAAAGAATCAGTTTTCTTGTGTGTGTGCATGTGTGTTTTGTGTGTGTGTGTGTTCTTTATACTTGTGAAGCTGTTCTTAGAACTTTCTTGCCTTGACTTTATGAGCCAACATGTAATGATTTCTCCTTTTCTCTTTCACTCATGAAAGGTACATTTTTTGCTTATAAATTTTTCTTCTGTTCATGAACTATTCAGTTCCCACCTTTATTTCTAGATTATATTCCCTCCAATGTACAGTTCATGACTATAAAGATGCTTAAGCCTTCATGCCCATCTCTGAATTATCCTTTATGATATAGGGTCAAATCTCTAAATATCCACTATATATCACTTAAGTACCTTATTGTTACCTGAAACTTAACATTGTCAAAATAAAATTCGTTAATTTCTCTCCACATTAATTTTCTTGATGTTTTCCTGTCATCACACTTTTATCCATAGATGCAAAATATCCATATCTTCTAGGCTCATATATCTTCTAGGATTTCCTTGTCACATTCAATAAAGTATTGATTTTTATTTTTGTTATTTATGATGTCTTTGAGATGTCTATCTTTCTCCTAGAACTGTTGAATTATATCATAAACTAGGCATATTAGTATAGAAAACCTATGTGTGAATGATGTGAAAGCCAGTCTATGAGATAGTCCCAGTGATCCCACTTCCTGTGTCATTTATTCCCACATTGTATTATGCTAAGTCTGTGTGATAAAAAGAATTCAGCAGAATAAATATGTTGTTTCCAAGGTTCAGTTATAAAATATGCTGAAGTTTCCATTTTGGCCATGCCTTCTCTCTTACCCTCTTCCCTTGATCCATTTCTCCCAGGTCATAACGAGCCCTAAACAGAAGTCCCTGTGCAAAGAATTGAGACCACTGTCATACACTAAAGAGAAACCGAGGCCCGCTTTTTTTAGGCCAAAAACAGACTCCTAAATTTTTTTTTTTTTAGGTTTTAGGGTAAATTGTTATATGCCAGAAGATAACTAATACAATGACATTATAATCTAAATAGCATGTTTATGTGATTAAACTGTCTTGAAAAATAAAATGAATGGAGAAGAGTCCAGAAGAAACCTGCTGGAGTTGTGTGGTCTGGGAAAAGAAGTCTGTCCCCTTGAGTTCAGAAAGGGCTCAGTGGCCCTGGGAGCAGGGGCAAGCGCTACCCATGAGGATCTCTTGGAAATCATAAAGGATTTGAGTCATAGAGATGTTAGACATTATCTAAGTTAAACCTTTTACCCATAGCAACCATCTCCTTTGCAGTCTTTCTACAAACTGAAAAGATCTGAAAAATAAGAAATTCTCTTCGGACATTTGACAGTTATGTGGTAGCTGTAGTGAGGACCTAAGTAGCAGCTCAGGCTGCCCCTTTGCCTTTTAATCTCCTAATTATAAAACATTAATAGACAAGTCTTTACCTATCCAGATGGCAAACTTGGCAATACTGCTGGTACTATGTGCGGAAGAGTTGGTATACAGGATGTTTTTTACTCTAAAACAAAGTATTCTTGCAGTGTTTCATGTGCAAGAATATATTCATCAAACTCCAAGAGTTTTGGCCAGACTTCAGATAACAGGTAAGCCTCCATCAAAGAAATCATGGGTTCTTCGGAAACAGAATTAGCTGCTAAACTAAAAGCATATGCTCAGGATCATGCTGCCTTGCAGAAACAGAAGACTAAAGCAGCAGTAGTCTCCATGGGAGTTTCAGCTGAGATAACAACATCATTAGCAGTAGCTTTATGAAGCTTATTCCTGGCTTTAAACATATACTCATAGGACCTGCTGGGGAGATAGCTCAGAAATTACGAGAGTGTACGTTCCCAGACAGACTAGTCAATCTACCACAGTCTTATGGACTTCTGGAATTATGAAATTTGCAAATTTTAATGCCGTTAGTGAGATATGAATTATTGGAAGTAAACTGAAATCAGGTCTTCTGATGCAATATATATGTTCCTTTCACCACACTGGATGATGTGCTGACAGTGGGGAGCATCTTGTTCACCCTAGAACTATTCAACATAAGTAGACAAATTGGAAAGATTTTCTGGTGAAATGACTTAATGGTAACAAATGTGTCTGCTTAACATTTCACAAAATTTTCTAAAAATGTGCAGGACTTTCAATCTTTGAATGAGAACAGAAGTGGTGGACAAAACGTACTATGTTAAACATAAGTAGAAATGATGGAAAGTATAATTGGAGGAAGATTTCTAATCATGAAAATAATGAAAAAATGATAATAGTGGAACCACATGAACACCCATTAATTCATCATTTTGGTTGATCTTGAGGTACAGGTAAGTCATTGAATCAACAGAACTGATATTATGAAGAAATAAGATGGACATTTTTGATACATTTATTTGCTGAGATATAAGTTGAATAGAGTAGGAATCATTTAAAGAAGGAATGATGATATTGGAAAATACAGTCTCATTAAATCTTTCTACAATATGCATTGCACTATTAGAAAGGTACTGGCTGATTGGTCTCTTATGATTGAGATTGATAGTCTGATTGGTTTTGTTATTTTGCACCTTAACCTTATATTTTCTCTCTTGGCTTTTGTGATATCAACATAGTTGAACTTACTTCACTTAGAAGTAAGTTCATTCTGAATGTTATGAATACTTCAGAAAAACTGGATCACAGAAAACTTTTAAAAAGGAAGTTCTGTATCACATATATAACATAGAAATGACATGAAAAGTGGTAGATTTTATGAAGCTAGATTAGTATTTAAGGACACAGTAACTTGAATTATTCATTTTCTCTCAATGATACATTCTGATGAATGGAAAAATGATTATGATCAGTGAGTTATTCAGGGTAAAGCCCTGAACTCTATTCCATAAGGTGGAATCAATTAATTGGATATCATCTACAGCCTTGGGAAATGTACAAACAGATTCATCAAAACAGAAAAATAATCTCAACATCAGCAAAGAAAATGATATGAGAAAAAAGTTACATGGTATCTGATGATTGACTATATGGTGAAGGTTATAATCCAGACATATCTGATCAGGAAAACAATGGCTCTGTTAACGTCTACATTTAGTAAGACCTATCAGGTGGCTCAGAAGCCTTGGGAGGGGAATTTTGCACAGAAAAAATTTATTACCAACCCCACTGTACCATGCTGCTTGCCTTCTGAGGCACCGTGCTAAACCTTGAGGACATACCAGTTCTAGATTGTCAGGTGGGTGGGGAAACTATTTTAGTCAACAGTGGAAGGGCCAGTATACAAAGAAAGAACATTGTGTTCTATATCTAAAGCTTCTGGAAGAATTTTTGTAGTGTAGTGTTCTGTGACTTAGGATTTATGTGTATTGTTAATAGGAACTGAAAATTTTACTCTTTGGTGAAATTTTATTATCAGCAGCTGGATTAAAGGAAATGACAGGAAAAGGTTAGAGTTGTAACTATATAGGAACTGCAGATACAAATGAGGCTTTGGGGTACAGTTTATGTATTTGGGGATTTCAGAAGTTATCCAGGTCAGATCTCAAGGGTTATTTTCTGTAAAAGTATGCAACAGAATCATCATAGTTTATCACCTGATTATGAAAGGAATAATTAATTTTGATTGTTAGCATTTTATCGTAGCATGTCTTAAAGTTTTACAGAAATGTTTTTATCCTCTGATTTTTTTAATTTGGCATTCTATATGATGCCAGAAAACACTATAGACTGTCATTTGTTGTATATATTTATTTTATGTTTTACATATTTGTATATTATATATTTGTTTACAAAAATTAGAATTATTCTAACACTAAAATATTAAACCAGAATGGCTGACAAGAGTTCATTCATGCCATCTCATTCTCCATATTGAAAAGTTGGGAAAGTAAAATATTGTCCTAACTTGATTTTCTTTTTCTTATTAAAAAAATATACACACAGACAAGAAATTTTGTTGTTTTTTTATCATTTTCATCAGTCTGAGATAATGCTTGGTATAATCACATCCCAAAACAGATGTTATGAATTGCCAGGAGAACCAAATTTAAAGTTGTTTAAAGGTAAATTTCTGATTTCAAAAACCATTCTAGCTCTACTTTAACTATATCAAATTTGTTACAAAGCTAACTTGCAAGGGAAATTCTTGATTTTCTTAAAATTCAATTCATATGATGGGCATTGTTTTCCACTGTATTCAGTAATAATTTTAACAATAATCACTGAGTTAGGTGATTTTAAAAACTTTGTTTTACAAAAATAAAAAGAAAAAGAAAATATGTTTTACTTTCTCTACTTGTAAAAAACTTTCTAATAAGTTGTGAATGAATAAGAGAATTTTAATTTTTCCAACAAAGGACATAAGCTGAATTGTCAGAAATTAGCTGCATATGTTCTAGAGGTGCTGCTAAATCTTAGCCTGGCCTCCTCAAATAGTAATATTGATCATATCCTCTGGAATACAGGTAGAGCTAATTACAAATTAATCAAAATTATTAACTTCTGCATTCCTTCAACCTATGAATTACTTTAAAAGTTGTCAATGGAATGCCTCAGGAGGCTATTTTAGGTAAGATTTTATTTGAAGCTAAAAATACATGGAAAGCTAGAAACTAGCAATTTACTAATATAAAATATTTCCCTATGTTTTAGTATAATTGCATTGGTAATAGTCACAGTTTTACTTTATCTTTAGCAAGAGGCATTAATAACATAAAGTAACTACTGCAAATAAAATTTGTTATTCTTGATCTAAGAGTAGATGGAACCGTATGTCAATATTTCTTGAAACTGACTTTTGAAAGACATATAGTTCAAATCAGTACAAGTTGTTTTTTATTAGTCAAATATATGTAATTTCAGCTGATAAATTATGGACACATATTCTAAACCAGTGGTTCTCAAAGTCTGGTCCTTATAGCAATGCTTAAGCAGCACCTGTAACTTATTACAAATGTAAAGTTACAGGCCCCATCCCAGACCTACTGAAATGGAAAATCACAGGTTGGGGGGCCTCCAATCTAGTTTTTAACTAGCCTTTCAAATGATTCTGACCCATGCTCAAGGCTGAGAAACACTGTCCTAAACCATTGTTGAGAGGGGCCTGCTATTGAAGGTGGCATTCTTACACTTCCAAATCTTAAACACTGAGGAATTAAATATAAAGTCTACAATATTTCCAAGGCAAAGATTATAACAGTTTTTGTTTTCAGGCTCAGTGAATTAAACCCAGATCTTGACTTTCATTACTCATGCACAAGAAGCCAAATGTAGGCGAACTCACTGGGGAATTGGAAAAACCAGTAGGAATATGATTTGGTGATTAGTTTTTTAAATTGTTCATTTGTAGCCATGTTTTAATCAGCTTCCATATCTAGAGCAAAATAAGGCATTAGCTATTTCTGAATTCCCCAATGAACTATGAAATATATATCAGTAACAGCATGCCAAGAGTCCTGCAAGCAACAGCTAAAGGAGAATAAGAACTTGCGAACATCAAAACACAGTTTAAACTTCTGTTGACTTGGGGGATTCTTTAATTCATACTGATAATGAATAGAAAATAACAATGCATAGAACTTTTATGTCCTAGACAGAACTCCAATTATACAATTTGATGATCCAATTCTCCTTTATAGTTTGAAATGGATTGCTCATCTTGGGTCTGTTTTTATATTTTCTTGTTGATATATTTTGTGGTGTTTTGGGGGAGGATGCAGGGAAGAAGAAGTTTAAACTCCTTATTCCTTATTTTGCTATATATGAGGCAAACTAAAGCTGTTACCAACTTATCATACTATCAATACCTACTTCCATCAATCTTTGTATTATCATGATATATATTTTATATCAATCCACTAATAGGGGAAATTATTTTAAAACTTTTCAAAATATAGATTTTTCATCTGAATTTCTTCCTGTAATTTTTTTATTTGAAAAGTGTCAAAATAAACTACATTCTTTTTGGATAGATCACTATCTCTGTAGATTTAATATTTTGATTTTGGGTCAGTTGTATCATTTTTGAGAAAGTAAAATTCTCACATGAGATCAACTGATAGATATAGGTATATATCATTGAATATTTTTCCAAAAAATCTGGTATAGTAATCTCTAACTACAGAAATTATATCTTCTCTCTATAAAACTATAAATATATTATAAATTATTTAATAATATTATCATATAATTTTTGTAGAGATCACTATAGCAGATTTTATTTATAATATAAATTTCTTATATAGATTGTGTGTAATATAAATTATATGTATTATATTATGTAGAAAAAGGGGGGAGAGAGAGATAATTAAATTAGAATGAAAACTGGGAATGTTTGCAGAAACTCCTACAAAAATTTAAGGAGTGTTTTCTTATGAAAAACCTTTGAATGCAAATTATTTTAAACTACACAATTAAATGTTTCTTAAACTGAACAACATGAAAGCAAATTTTTAAAAAAATTTTTAGACCATGATCTCACCTAGCATGTTGCATAGCAAATCACTAATTAGCTTGCTTCAAAATAGCAGTCTGGCAAGTAAGTGACCACAACCTGCTTTGAAGGCAGCAATTCATAGCCAAGAATATCCTTCAAAATCATCTGAGAAATTTAAATACATACATGTACTCAGACCCCATTCCAGAGCCACTAAATAAGAATTTTCAAAATATGAAGTCTATGAAGTCCAGGACAACTTTTCAATTCATGGTGAGAAATTTTTATTTTAAAAGAAGTAATCTGGGCAGTATATATGATCCATTGCAGACCTGAGAAAATAAAGAATCTCTGATATATTGCTGTAGATGTTTTGCTTTTCTGGGACATTCCTGGGAGGTCTCTTACAACTAGGATCTTGGTTTCCTCAGGTCATTCCCCAACTACTCAATTCATTCTGCTTTTGGCTTCTCAAGTATTCCCAGAATATCTGATGGATGCTGCTATGGTCTGAATGTTTGTACCCCCCAAAAAATTTGTATGTTGAAATCTAACCCTCAAGGTGATGGTATTAGAGTTAGGGGCTTTGGGATGTGATTAGCTTATGAAGGCTCATAAGGATTAGTGTCATAAAGTTTATGAACCAAAGAGGTTTGAGGGAGCTTGTTTGGCCCTTCTCCCATGTAAGGACACATAGAAGATGCCATCTATGAGGAACAGGTCCTTATCAGACACAGAATCTTCTGGCATATTGATCTTGGACTTCCCAGCCTGCAGAACTGTGAGCAATACATTTCTGTTGTTTAAAAATTACCCAGCATTTTGTTAGACTAGGCCAAAAAGACTAAGAAAATTTCCTTTCCCCGACTTCTAGCATGTTGGTGATTTCATTCTCTCTTTTGTTCTCTTTCTCCACTTATCTATGATTATTTCAATATCCCTTGGTTTGTGAAGAAAAGCAAAACACATGATTAGTCCACCACATTTAACCAAAATAGAATTAACTTGAGTGATCCAATGTGAACCTAATAAACCTAATTTTCTTTTCTTTGGGAAAAGAAGGATTTCTTAAAGTATAAATTTGACTATTAATTTTGTTCTCATTGATCCAGTCATACAGCAAAGAACACATTTACTTTTGGATTTATTTTGTTGTCCTCTATATTCATACTCCACTTTTGATTTGTTTTAATTTTTTTATGTTCAAAGAAGGGTTTTAAGTTTGTTCTAAAGTTTCCCTCAATATCTCTTTTCAGATTATCCACAGGGTCAGTTACCTGTTACTCCTATTTCTGGTTGCCTGTATTCTGCCCCTCTCTCACTCAGAATTCTTTACACTTCCGCATATTTTAAATATTTTCTGGTCACAAGTGCTAGAAATAGCACCGCCTTATTACATTAAAATTGTTGGTTTACTGCATTATTCCTCAGATTCCTATGGAAAATAATTTCCCAAGTATGCCCATCCTTGGGGTAATATTTTTCACCTTTCTTCTGTATTACCTTAGATACATGCCCTTGTTTCTCTCATTCATTATTAGAAGAGAGAATACGTACTAACCATACACCAAGAGATAAGATGACTAACTCTTGACAACACTCACAATAGTCTTTCACTTATACCTACTTCCTTTCCCAAATCTTTATTTTGAGAACAGATTGTTTGGCATAATTCTTAGACCAATGTGCACAGTCTAACAACAATTCAATTAGTTTAATAGTTCTTAAAGTTTATGGTGGGATAGGGGATCCCTTTTATATTTCTATATAGTACTTTAATTGTTGAGATTATACCTCCCGCGATATAATGGAAGCTTACCTCTTTATGTGGTATTGTAAGCATCACTGCATTCAAATTGGTGTATAAGGGTATGAGTGGATATTTTGAGTAGTCCACTCACCATGAGGAAAGCATTAGCCACACTGCTGAGAAGACTAATACATAGAGTTTTGATGAGCAGAGACCCTGTGTCTTTAAACCAGAGGGAAGGTGAAACCATGACACTATTTTGGTGACTTTGGAAGGGTGAAGAGGTAGGAAAGAAGACATTTTCCCTAGTTTTGGTAGGAATGTTATATTTCTGGTGGCAAAATATGTTAACTCTGAATTATCATTTCTTTCAAATTCTGTAATTCTTATGATTGAGAGCTTTTTTTGATTTTAAATACATTAATAGTTGCCCTAATAATTGATAGTTTTGTGAGGTTT